GGCCGCGCGCCGAGCCGGCGGCCGCTGTGTGGGTCCATAGTCTGTGGAGGCAAGCAGAAGATACTCGGTGACTCGGGGGCTCGGCTTGCCCAGGGGTCCCCGCCCCGCCTGCCCCCATTCCCCCGCCGCCCGGAGTCGCGGCCGGGCCGGGCCCCAAATGCTCGGCGTGTCTCCCCGCTGCACGCGCACGCGCCGGACCACCCGGGCCGCCCTGGTCCCCGAGCGCACACGCACCGTCCCGGCCACGCTCGAGCCAGAGGAGCCTGGGGGAACCCGGCCGCACAGCTCGCCGCTTCCCTTTCGCGTCCCCGCGGGTCCCTGCGACGAGGGCGCCGCGGCGGAAGGCTGCTGGCTGCGCTGGGTGATAAAAACCCAAATCTGCGAAGCCATCACGCGCGCACACACACACTCACACGCACACCCTCTCCCCTCCCCCGCTGCCCCAAGGTGTCTCGGAGGAAAAGGCCTGGGGTCCACGTCCACGCTTCGCTTTTTTCCTCTCCCCGCCTCATTCCGAGGTCCAGCTTTTACTGCATTCCGCTTAACCGAATAACCATGCTAATTAAGCGAGTAATTTTATTGATTGTAACTCAAGAGGTTTTTTTTTTATAACCTTCCTTTTCTCTGCTTTCCCATCCCCCTATACGTCTTTCGGTCCATTCTTTTGAACCCGCCTCCCCCTACTCCCCGCCCCAACAGGACCAGGCCCCCACCCCGCAGCACCGAGCCAGGACCCCGAGCCAGCTCCCCGGAGCCCGGGCGTCTGCGTCCGCCACCGGCGTCACCTGGGCCGCCACGCTGCAGTGCCCGGCCTGCCGTCCCTGAGTCAGGAGCTTCCCGGCGATGCTGGAACAATCACCCCACCCCCCAATCAGATTCACCCAGGATCTTCCTCTGCGGATTTGGGGCTTGGGTGGGGTGGGGGTGGGGGGTCGCCTTGAGAGTCAGAAATTGTTGTCTCTCAACGACCCAAATCGGTCACAGGATCTCTCCCTTCAGCGCCTGCCTGGGGTCGCCGAGCCGGGGCCGGTCTCTGCGCGGCCAGGCGGCCTAGGGACCCGGGGTCTGCGCCGCCTGGCTCGGCCCTCGGGCCGCAGAGAGTCGGCTGGGCCCAGCGCAACCTTTGCCCGCCTGCCCTCGGGTCCCAGCAGACCTCGGGCCTCCGTCGTCCACCTCCACCTCCACCTCCTGGCAGGGCCACATAAAAATGCCCCCACCTCCCTTCTCTTCCACCCCCACCCAACGCAGAGAGTCCACTCCGAGGCGAAATTGGGGATAATTTCAGACGCTGAGTGCGGCGCGAGGGAGCAAGGGACAAGAACCGCACGGCCCTGCGCCCGCGGGGACCACTTTCCTTTTGCATATTTCTCATTTCCTAAGTCTGCATTGTTTTGATTGATATCACCTCCAACAAAAGGTAGATGGATAGGCTCAATGTTAATTGTGAACTTTGCAGAAAATCTTCTGATTTTTTTTAAGCCGTCCCACGGTGACAACAAAGAGATTAAGATGTTTTCCATTTCGTAGACACCGCTTTAAATTGCTATATTTAATGCTACGGGTTCTACAACGTCTTATTTGCAGACTATTTTGTGTTAGATTTAATCTATAACCGAAAACATAATGTATTAAGTGAATACATATTTGCTCAGCTGATAAGCTTTTTTAATATTTATTCGGAGAGCTTTTGCATTGTAAATAAACGAGACCTACACAAAGAGTTCCCTTTGTCTCTTAACTTCATACAAAGAGGTTCGGGGCTTCCTCCCCTCTGGGGATGGCCAGCGCTCTCCCCCGGTCTAACAAATAACTCAATTCGCCGCTGCTCGGGCCTGCAAAGCGAGTGCCAGGCCGCCAGAGCCGAGGGAGCCCCGGGCGAGGGGGTTGCCCTCGCCGGGGTCAGAGGAGGGGCTGCCCACGCCGGAATAGGGGCCTGGGGGCAGCAGCGAGGCGAGCGCTGGTGGAGGAGGGGTGGGGGGGGCCCGGGGCGGGACAAAGGGAAAGGAGGAGGGGTGGGAGGTCGGGAACCTGCGGCTTCAAAGGTGCCGAGGGCCGGGGGCTGCGTGCGAGGGGTTGCCAGGCTTCCCGGCGGCCTCCGGGGAGTCGTGTGTGTTATGCTTTTGTTCTGTGGGGTTTCTTTCTTCCAATAAGAAATTAAAAAATTGTCGAGAAAGCGCGAGCTGCTCGCGATTCTCGGGACGCGGGCTCGGCTACCAGCAGGAATTTTAATCTTCCACTTCCTGCGGGTGGATTGCAGGATCGACTGAGCCTTCTTTGCCAGCCTGCTAGACTTTTTACGAAAACAGGGGGTTGATTATTGTCGCCCGTCTGTGCCGCTGCGATTCTTACCAGATTGGAGGAGGCTTTTCTTTGTGTTCTTTGCTCCCGGGGAGAGGCGGCGCCGCGCCTCCTCGTCTGCCAGCGCGCGGCTCCCGGGGCCTGCGGAACCCAAGCCGGGCAGGGAGCGGGCCGGGTACGCGCGACGGCCACAAGGCCTGGGCCCGGAGCCGGGTAGCCGCCACCCCTGAGTCCCAGGGCTCCGAGCCCCCTCCCCCCAGCTCTAGGAGTGGCTACCGCAGAGGACAGCGCCGCAGCCCGAGGCCAGCTGGTCTAAGGGAGGAAGCGGAGCGCAAGCGGAGGCGGGCAGGGGACCCCGCGCCGGCCGGAGAATCGCTGACAAGGGCATTCTGAAAAGAAACGAACCTCAGAAAGCCAGGCTTCTCCCCGGGGTGGCGGGGCGCGGTCCCCAGAACAGCCGTCCCCTCTTCGCCTGGCTCGAGCGTTCATGGATGTGGAGTTCCTTCACCTTTGGTTGGGTTTTAGGTCATGCACCTAAAAACCTACCCTCCCTTAGGCTGCACGCCAAGGACGAGGACCCCTTCCCGTTTGCCTCCCCCGGCGCCGTCTCTGGGCGCGCGGGCGCCGGGTGTGTGTGTGTGGGGGGGCTGCCTGCTGAGCTGGGACCAGGCGCACACCGGCGCGCAGGCTGCTGGAGCGCCGCCGCAGAACCCGCTCCCTGCGAAACGGCCGCGCCCGCCCCCCCGGGAGAGGACTGAATAGCGGGGCCGCGCCGGACCCCGCGCCCCAGGGCGCACCCGCCCGCAGACTCCATCCCGAGGGTCGAGGCCTGAGCCCCGAGCGCTGTCCCGAACGCGCGCGGTGAGAACGCCCCGCTGCGCTCGCCTCGCTCGGCCCACTTCTCCACCCATACCCCAGGCAGAAAAAATTCTGTAATGTTTTGAAATGAATTAGTCTCTGGAAAGCGAAACCCCGAAAAGCTCGCCATTACCCCTCCCCGTCCGAGCCCCTAACTCTGCACCCAGCCGGCAGCCGGAAAGCCCCTCTGTCAGCGGACCTGGCCGCCTTGGCCACCACGAGCCGGCCGGTTCCCTGCGTCGCAGAGCGACCGGGCGGGGCCGACCAGGACTGCTCGGGGAAGGGGAGCGGGGGTGGGGTGGGGGGGCAAACAATTGGGGTTCGTTGGTGGTACCGCCAGAGCCGGGCGCGCGTTGGCGGCGTCCAGGACCTAGCCAACTGTCCGCCCGGAGCCGCCCGCGCCGCTCGCGTGGGACGCAGCCTGGCTGTCCCTGTCCTGTTGCGATTATTTATTTTTAATGCTAGGTGTCGATCGCGACAACAAGAGCTCAGAGCAAAGCAAGGACGCATTACGGGGGGAATTTTAAACCGATCGATAAGATTTTTCAGAGGGAAAAAAATCGCTCTCATATACAGTCCATCTTTAAAAAAAAGCCTGCTCCACATTATAACGGAGTTTTTTAAAGGGAAGATATATATTTCTTAACATCGCAACCCTGAATTTCTCTTACTAGAAAAAAAAATGTAAATCCCCAAAGCCAAAATAATAATAAAAATAGAAAAACAAAAAAATGAAAGCAATTTCAGTTACTTACTGGAGGCTGTTTCCTGGATACAACTGAATGCAATACAATTAAACCAGTAAATGTGACTTTGTTTTGTATTCCTATTGGTATTTTCAATGTGCTGACTGTTGCACTGTAAATGCACCGCTTCCACAACAACGACTCTAGCGAGCCCATCCAGAACGGCTCTCAAACCTGCAGCCGGCGCGGCGAGCCACGGGCCCTGCATACTAATAAGCTCGTGCCACTCAGCCCCGAGCAGCCCGCGCGCTGATTGGCCGCGCGGCCCTCCTCGGCCGGGAGCTCGTGCCACTCACTCGGCGTAAACAGGCCTCCCAATAGGCTGGCGCCGGGCCAGGGAGCTGCCAATCAGGGAGCAGCAGGGCTACTACCGAGCCCGATGGCGCCTAATTCAAGCCCTGCGACTGCGCAGCTCCTCTGCGCATATCGTTGCAGCTGAATGGGAATGTGGTGGCGCTGGGCGGGAGAGGGAGTAGAGGCGAGTGGGAGCGCGTGTCCGCGCAGAGGGGGAGGCTTTTTTAAAAAAAATTTAATCCAGCAGGTCTAACGTTTGGTTTCTGGTGCACAGAGGCCAGGAGAAGAAACAGCAACACCCGTTAAAGCCGATGCTTTTTTTTAAATCCCTGGGATCTGTCTGGCAGGTGGCTAAACCAGGCGCGGGTAGGCCCGAGCTCCAAGCGCGGAGGCCTCCTCGGGTTTGCCTGGCCCTTCCACCACTCCGAGACCTCCGCTTGCTCCGACCGAGCTCGGGAACGCCCGCGTCCTGGGCAGCACGAGCTCCAGAGT